GTGTGTGTGTGTGTGTGTGTGTGTGTGTGTGTGTGTGTGTGTGTGTGTGTGTGTGTGTGTGTGTGTGTGTGTGTGTGTGTGTGTGTGTGTGTGCGCGCTCTCTCTCTCTCTAGAGGGTTAGAAAACCTGCCTTATCGTGGTAGATTCCAGGAGCTCAATCTATTTATCTTAGCAAAGAGAAGGTTAAGAGGGGACTTGATGACATAGGTACTTACACAGGGAACAAATATTTAATAACGGGCTTCTTAGTCTAGCAGAGGAAGGTCTGACACGAATGGCTGGGAGTTGAAGCCAGACGAAATAAGGTGCACGTTGTTAACAGGGATTGTATTGAGGCAGGTCTCTGGCCTGCGCTATGCAGGGATCAGACTGGATGATCACAACGGTCCCTCCTGGCCTTGGTTCCCAGCCCCTTGAATGGCACTTTCTTGGTGTGGGAACCTAGTGGTTCCCAAACTAGGGTTCAAGAACCCCTGGGGGTTCATGAAATGTTACAGGGGGTTCTCGGGAAAGAATTCCCTAATGGCGGTCAGAGCTGTCCCTAGGGACCCCGGGCAGCACGGGGCCAGCAGCCCGGAGCCCGTGGACTTCCAAGAGCTAAGCAGATCAAGCAAACATATCTATCACACTGAGGAGATTTAAACTTCAAGACTCCTTATAAGAAATGGAAAGGGAGGTTAATTTTAAAAACAGCAAAAAATATCCAATAGGCAGCTAGTATTGTTTTAAAAATTATTATGAAGAACAAGTTTAAGCTTTGTTGTAACGTGTGTTGTTTGCCTGGACAGCTCAAGACCTGAATGCTTCTGTAGGAGGAACTCTTTGAGTTGGCTTCTTAAATACCTTCATGCTGTTTCACATCTGATACTCCTTGATGAAACAGACTTATAACAGGCTTATTCAAAGTGATACAAGCTACTGGAAGAGTGTTGCCGTTTTCATAATGTAATAAACATAATGTAATGATAAATAATAATTAATAATAAATAGTGTGTAATAAGCATGTCATAAAAACAAATTTTATATTTTCAAGATCACTGCTTTTATAATTTATACTCAGGTAAAGGAGAAAATCCCTGGAAATATTCATTTTTAGAAGGGGGATCACAAAACTTGACATTTTAGTGAAAGGGGTTCACAGGTTGTTAAAGTTTGAGAATCACTGCTCTAGAGGGACAATGCCAGGCCAGCACTGCTGTGTAGAGTGCTAGCCTGGGGCTAAGGGTGAATGGCAGAGCAGGTCCCCGGGGCCTGATGCGTGCATTCAGTCACGGGCAGACGGAAGGGATGGCTAAGGCTGGGAATGCTGACTGGTTAAAAGACAGCTATTCTCAGAGCTGTAAAATCCACATACTTGAAATTTGCTGTGCCTCAAGGGAGGTAGTGAGTAAGTGAGTGACCCACATTTGGAGTCATTTGAGCAAGGGGTTCACAAGATCCAGCTCCCCTAAAAGTCACATTTACAAAAGTCACCTGGTTCTTCTAACACACACACACACCTGAGGCTCAGATTACAGCCCTGATCCTCCTCAAGCTGATCTCAGCCACTCAGGCTGATCTGGCCCCCACAGGCCCTTGGTAGAAGCAACATTTCTGGAATTATTCTGGGTAGACCTCAGGGTCCCAGACTGGGCCTGGCTGAGGAGAGCGCTCTCTGCCAACAGCTGCTCCAGCCCTGCGGTGGGCTGCCTCCTCTGGGGACTCCGTTAGGTCTCATTTAGTCCCACGGTTTATGGGGCAACCAGGAGTCCAAACAACAGTCCTGCAGCCTCAGGCCACATCTCTGGTTCTACCCCTGTTCTTTGCTTTGCACCACTTTGCCCAGCCGCTGGCAGGGGAACCCAGGCCCTTCCCCTTCTCTGGGTTCTAGTCCAAGGACCCAGCCATTAGGCAAGGTCTGGTTGTACAGACCCACCCCTGCTTTCTCCCTGAGCTCCTTCCTGCCACAGCCGGTCTGCAGGCCTTTCCCACGCCCCTTCCCACACCCAGGGTCTACGTGGATTCCCCTCAGGCTCCCCTCTTCCTTCAGGCCATGGATGGAATGGAGCCACCAGTACCAACTTCACCTCCTTTCCTGCTCCCCAGGCCTCAACTTGAGCTCTTCACTTATTGTCCCTGACTCTCTGCTGCTCAGCTCAACCCAAACACCCCATGGTTGGGATTTTGAGTCCTACCTTAGAAGTGAAGTCCCCTCCTGTAGCCATTCTCCAAGAGCAGGAACTCCCAACCTCCCTGCTCCCCTCCATGCAGGGCTTTCTCAGTCCTTGTAAGGAAATCTGACTCCTCACCAGATGGACCTGCTAACTGACCTACTTAACATCCCTGCAGGTGAGCATTCAGGCTCCTGTTAACCCTCTCAGAACCAGCATAGGATTTAGACTCCATTTCAATCCACATACTGTGGAGCCCTGCCCTGTGGGAGCTTTCTGAGACAGGGTCTCATGCACATTCATGGTTCTCCGTCTGGCAGTCTTGCCCTCATTTAAGAGCTCTTCACAGTGCTCTAAACTCCACATGCAGGCTCTGATTAGGAGTATTATCAAGGAAATTAGCATTAAACAAACAGAGGGAAGGTGAAAGACGCCAGTAAGCAGCTGGGTTAATGCAATCCTGCTCCTCGACTGGATCCTGGACAACGGGACTGACTGTGATCAAAGGAAAGCAAGTCGCTGGGACATTTGGTCCAGGGGTCCCAGCTGAACAACCCCTAACATGAGCTGCTGAGAACATTTTCAGATTCTGCTGACTTTTGGAAGGGCAGAGCTAGAGAATGGGGGGCTGGGAGCAGTGAGGGATGTTGGATCAGTGCAGGGATTTGGGGGTTTGGAGGGTGTGGGGGATCAGTGCTGGGATGTGGGGGTTTGGAGGGCATGGGGGGATCGGTGTGGGGATGTGGGAGTTTGGTGGGCATGGAGGGATTGGTGTGGGGATGTGGGGGTTTGGAGGGTCTCAGGGGATTGGTGCAGGGATGTGGGAGTTCAGAGGGCGTGGGGGGATCGGTGCGGGGATGTGGGGTTCGGAGGGTGTCGGGGGATTGGTGCAGGGATGTGGAGTTCGGAGGGTGTGGGGGTTTGGAGGGCGTGGCGGGATTGGTGCTGGGATGTGGGGGTTTGGAGGGCGTGGGAGGATCGGTGCGGGGATGTGAGGTTTGGAGGGCATGGGGGATCGGAGGGCATGGGGGGATCGGTGCAGGGATGTGGGGGTTTGGAGGCCGTGGGGGGATCGGTGTGGGGATGTGGGGTTCGGAGGGCGTGGGGGATCGGAGGGCATGGGGAGGTCGGTGTGGGGATGTGGGGGTTTGGAGGGCATGGGGGGATCAGTGCAGGGATGTGGGTTTCGGAGGGTGTGGGGGGATCGGTGCAGGGATGTGGGGGTTTGGAGGCCGTGGGGGGATCGGTGTGGGGATGTGGGATTCGGAGGGCGTGGGGGGATCAGTGCAGGGATGTGGGTTTCGGAGGGTGTGGGGGGATCGGTGCAGGGATGGGGGAGTTCGGAGGGCGGGGGGGGAACAGTGCAGGGATGTGGAGGT